GCTTCGGGGGGGGCACTTCCCCCAGGCCCCCAAGAGATTGGGGGGGGGGGGGGGGGGGCGTGGTAAGGCACGAGGAGCATGGTGTGTGCCCGGGTGATTGCAGTCGACTAATAACCTTTGGCAGAAACGAAAAATGGCAGAAAACATCAAAACAATAAAAAAAGTTTTTCGCCGTCATCTTGGTGGACCACAACTCCTTGGCCTGTGTGCCTTGGCAGGCAGTTAAACCTCATAATTGCGTTGTTGGCACTAACACCCGTGGTTCAGTAAAAAAAAACGCAGACCACGGGTTTCGAATCTCTCTGCACGCGAAAACAAAAAAATCGCAAACAAAAAAAATAAGGCGTTGGAAGGCTCATGGTTCGTGAGAAGAAGCTCGTCTTCGAAATCGAAGGCAATCAACCCGCGTGCGTGCATGCAGGAGGTGAGGTGCGAAGAAAAGACCGACCTCGGCAGTCCCCCTCTCGCGCCACTTTGCCTCTACTTTTGGACGGAAGTCGCAGCTCGTGCTTGTAACGCGTCGAAATGACAATTAGAAAGGGGGACCAAAACGCCAAAGCTACACTTTGGTTCTGACATTCATGGTATATAAAAAAATACTCCAGCGTGACCCTGGCTTATACATGCAAAAACACCCCCAAGCGCGCAAAACCGGATATCTAGAAACATACCGGGACGATACAAAATTTCCTTGCTGCTGCTACTCGTTCTGGTCGAACCGAAATCGGAGGGAGCACTGGTCGCTTCGGTTATATAGCTTTGTGCTGTACAACATGATAGAAGTACCACATTTATCTTGAGCACTCACTCGAAATAACCGCCATCGTCGCCGGCAAAGATGTTGTTGGAAATTACCGTACCGTCAGAGTCCTCTACGTTCACGAGGCCAGCCACAACGTACGTGATCTCATTCGAGCTGAGGGTCGGGGGGAGGAAAACGGAGGACAGGACGGGGGGGGGGGGCGTGAGTGTCGGGTGGGGTTGATCCCGAGGTTCCACGAGGACAGAGAGAGAATCGCTAGTGACTGCCGAACATGAGATGAGCGGGAAACCAGCAGAAGCAACAAGAGCAACAAACACAACAATATCGATGGATCAATGAAACGCCGGACTCGATACAGTAGAACCGCTTGCACCACTGAACAAAGAGTAAAAGGTACTAATCCACATAGCGAATCTTCCCTATCAGCGATAAGGTATGGTATGGTTCCACGATGGTCTGATGTGAAAAAAAGGGCAATGAAATCCGCTTTTCCCAGAAACTGCGAGAGGAAAACGCTGTGCTCAACGGGCGAGCGGGAGAGGCAGACGTAGAAGCGGCAGCTTTGGGGCAAGCGTGGGATGCATGTCTCGTATGTAACACATGTTGCCTTTCCACCGCGTTTTTCGTTCCGTGCCGCACCCCCCCCCCCCCTATTGCTACATTCTTCCTCTTCGTGACCGCGATGTTAAATATCCAACGCGTGAGCCTTCTCCGACCTTACAGAGCAATTGCGTTTCTCGGGCGTGTCCCGAGAGAGATATTCACATGAGGTACATAGGTTTAATTGATTTCCTACGAGCAAAGTGTTTCTTCTTTGTTTCAGTGTTAGAGGAGGGAACGTCGAAAACACGACGAGTGACCGTCTTGCTCTTGTCCGCAACAACAAGGAATCAACCAACCTCTTGTAACAGTCTCTCGGAACACCGTGCCGAGGAACGTAACATTAGACTATTCTAGGGTTTGAGTCGACCCGCGGCTCATTTCTCCCCCCTACTCTACTGAGTCACGACCGACACCGTAGGAAAGTCAGAGAGCTACGCGGGGAATGTATCGACGTGCCCAAATATAGAGACGAAGCTATAAAAGCTTGGTACCCCTGTCAAGCGAGAGCCAACCATCTCGCAGCCGACCTACACCGGAAGACCGTCAAGCATATTTTGGATAGATAGATACGACGAGAACAAAAAAATCAGGGTGGTCAGCATCCCTACGATTATCGTTGTCGAATAATGAATAAATAAAAGAAGACACCGCGACTGCATCGCGTCGGCCGAACGCGTGTGTCTATATACAAGAAAAAATAAAATGAAAAAACATCTCTATACATGCGTGTACGACAACACAAAACGTCATCCAATCGCGTCCGACCAACCCAAAAAAAAAAAATCAAAAATCGAAGACATTGCGGGGGGGTGGGCGCGTCGCATCCAACATACCGAGCGGTTAGCAAACAACATACCAAGCGGTTAGCAAACAACATACCGAGCGGTTAGTAAACAACATATCTAGCGGTTAGCAAACAACATATCGAGCGGTTAGCAAACAACATACCGAGCGGTTAGCAAACAGCATACCGAGCGGTTAGCACACAACATACCGAGCGGTTAGCAAACACAATAAAAACTCACTCGAAAACGTTGTTGGTGCATCGTCCCGTGAAGGGCTCCACTAGTGGCTCGTCGGCCCCCAGGTAGAGGTAGATCTCCCGTTGAGTGCTGCCCGAGAAAACATTGTTGAAGATCTAAACGGCACGAAGTCGTCGTCGTCGTAAAATCGAGGTGGCAGCGGCGACGGTGCGCAGATACAGCGCGGCAGGGAGGGGGGCACCGTGGATCATCGTTCGTTCGTTCGTTCGTTCGTTCGTTCGTTCGTTCGTTCGTTCGTTCGTTCGTCCGTTCCTGTACGTGCATGTGCTTCATCGAAAAATGGCCACCACGGAGAAGACGGTAACGACAAGTCGATCTACCTCAGAATAATAACGGGAAAGAAAAAAAAAACGCACCCATACGAATGGAAAACGGTGCGGTTTGTATGCATACCCACCCGTGGAGCGAGTGACTTTTGTTTCTTCTGCTACTGTTGCAGCATTGACTGCGCTTACCGGTCGACGAGCGAAAAGGCGCCAGCCACAGTACCAGATTGGAGACGAAAACAACAAAAACACACGTTTGCTTGCCAGTCCCCCCCCCGACTACGGCATGCACGACTACGAGTACACCCCCCCCCCCCCCCCCCCCCAAAGGAGGGGCGGG